TTGGGGGGTTGGGGGGGCAATCTGGTCGGTGCCCCCGAGGTATTCGGTACCCCCGAGGTATTAAGCATTCATTAGGAAGAGAAAGCGGACGCCTGAGCGAGGGCCGCGAGGCAGCCTCGAGGGAGGAGAAGCGTTGTTTTTGGGGGGTAGGGTTACAGCGGAAGGGTACGGTAATAACTTGATGACTCAGAAATGGGGTCTGCGACTAGACATTTTGGGGTCTGCCCTTAGCCCTGGCGCCAAAGGTAGCCGTAGTGGCAAGTGGTGTGACAAGACTGACGTGCATTTTTCTCCGATGATATGTCCTGTCCTATGGGAGGATGAACTCGATAAAGATGCTGTTTCGCCAGGAATCCCATAGGGCTGTGATCAGCACATTCTGATGATAATTCTGGATCTGGCCCCATTCTCTATTGTCGTAAGGTATTATCTAGATAGTATATCAGCCCAACTATGATCGGCCAATATTATACTATACCTCGACGTACTACTGACCGTACCGAGACCGTGACCGTGACCGTGGTCCAACCCTGGGCACCGCACCGCACAGGCACACACACCTACTCTTTCTCTCTGGTCTCTCTCTTTTTCTCTTTCGATAGACTATAGAGGAGGCACATTATTTCCAAAAAAGACATTTTCTTCACTTACCTACCATCCGACTTTTTTGTTTTCTTTGCTTGCACCGAATTTACGGGACTGGAAAGCCTTCACGTCACTCGATCCCGATTAATACCACAACAACAACATACGATACCTACTACATACATACCTAGGTACAGGTACTCAAGAAGCCTGCATCATCAGCAAGCAGCAGGGAACACCGCTGCAGCTTCATTCCCAAACGGGCAAATAATAATGTCGCCAGAAGAACATGAAATGGAACCCTTCGTCTTCGACGTCGGCAACGGAGACTTGGTCAGCGGACTAAAATCCTTCCCTCTCAAACTCGAAGACACCACACGATCCAGCAAAGGCACACCCCTCATCATCTGCCTACACGGATCGAGTTATTCGGCCAAATACTTCGACGCACACCCCAACTACTCCATCCGCAATGTCTCTCTCCAACTGACCATTCCCGTCATCGCTCTCAACCGTCCCGGATATAAACAGACGCCCGAATTGGGCAAAACGAGCAATACCGGCTCGGATACACATTTGCAAAATGAAGCCCTCTGGCTCCATCGTCTTGTTCTCCCTACCATCTGGCGCGCCTACGGTCCTCCTCTCGGTGCCACCTCGATTATTCTCCTCGGTCATGGAATCGGTGGAGCTGTCAGCCTTATTACTTCCTCTCTCAGCTGCACCGATCCGCCTGAAGAACGCAATTATCCCCTTTCAGGTCTCATTCTCACCGGTTTAGGATCCCGTCAAGTCCTCGAACCCAACGACGAAACTCTTTTTCGCTCTTCTCAAGAATCCTTTGATTTTTCCTCTTCCTCTCCTCCTCCTTCTTCCTCATCCAAAGAAGAAAAATCCCCTCTCTACGAACACTGGGAACCAGGCAACAAAACCAAACTCATGCTAAACTCCGCCCTCAACCAATCCCCCCTGGAAACCATCAAAGCCCACTCCAAAATCTCCTCTCGCGGTCTAACCTCCGAGACCCACGACTTCTCTTGTGCCCAAAATTTCCCGCGATACTGGCGCAGCATGGCCGCACAAATCAACGTACCTGTAATGTATTTTCTCGCCGACATGGATCTCCTCTGGGATGCGACATCAGAAAAAATCACAGATTTCGCTTCTGCGTTTTTGAGTTCGCCGAGGGTGGAAAGTGGGGTGTTGAGGGGTGCGGGGCATTGTATTGAATTGAGTTGGTTGGGGCCTTGTTGGTATACGCGTTGTGCGGGGTTTGCGATGTGTTGTGCTGTTGAGAAGGTTACGTTGGATGGGTATAAGGGTTCCGGAGGGTTTCCGGTGCCGCCGGAGGAGAGGACGAGTTTGAGTACGATTGTGGAGAGGGATAGTGAGGCGCTGAAGGAGCAGGTGGCGGGGGTTTAGGGAAAGGAAGGTGGTTTGGGGCAAAGGGTATGATATCTCGCTGGTCGAGGTTGTGGATTTGTATATATGTACGTACGTATTGGTAATGACTACTGTAATTTACAACTCACCTCATAATCTCTCTTATATCGTTTTCTTCTGTGCAGATTGGAATCAATACCTAGGTCAGTCATTTCACCTAGAGCACATATATCCAACCTTTTCTACAAATATAGCGTACATACACCCTCCAAGTCCTCACTGCCTAGGTAGGTATATCTCTACAGCAGCGTCAGCCTTTCTCATCTCGATCCATCCATCTCCTCCAAATGTAACCCCAGAACTACATAACATACCTATTCTCGTAACCGTCTATCATCATCATCACCATCATCGTCCCACAAGTTCTAGGCAACCCTAACGTCCCAGATACCAAAACACTTGCCTACTAGGTACAATACAATAGTACAGAAGGTACAAACTTTTCATGATGCGTAATGCCCTGTATTCGAGAGAGAGGACATAGTAGACCGAACAAACCGGAAGAAAGAACAAAAAACAACACACTACATTCTTCATTTTCTCTTGTCAGTAGCTAAGGTAAGGTAGGTATCTATCATTTTCGTTATATGAAAAGCCTGGTATCTTGAATATTGTAACTAAATATTAAAAAGAAAAAAAGAAACTCCATAAACGCCCTCAAAACACGATATCGTGTGTAGGAAAAAAAACATCATCTTCACGACCCCTTGACCCACTCCACATCCGTCCGAATATCCCCAAACCACGCCATAAGAATATCCCGAAAATAATTCGTCCTGGGCAACCACTGCGGTTGATCACCCGCCTTCGGAACCGCATTCTTCCCCTTCGTCACATACGTACTATTCAAGCGTAAAATATTCGCCTCTCGCATATGTTCCTTCTCATATGCCGAGCGACGAGGAATAATCTCGACAGCATTTTCCTGGCGCATTTTATTCAAGATGCGCGTCGTCATTTGTGCCGTGGCATCGGCTCCGAGGGTCCAAGAGGCGTCGACGTAGCCGACGACAAAAGCGGTGTTGGGAAGGTCTTCGATCATGATGCCTTTCCAGACGAATTTGTCGGGGATGTGGAAAGGTTGGTCGTCGACGGAAACTTTCATGCCGCCGGCAAAGGAGAGTTTGAGACCGGTGGCGGTGACGATGATGTCTGGGTGGAGTTCTTGGCCGGATTCGAGTTTGATGGTGGTGTCGGTGATTTCCTTGATGGTTCCCGTGGCGACGCTCGATGTTCCTGCGCGCAAGCTCTTGAAGAAGTCGGCGTCGGGGCACATGCATAGGCGTTGCTCCCAGGGGTAATACTTGGGCGTGAAGTGAGGATCGTGGGGAATCGAGGACGGAAGCTGTTTGGCAGTAATCTTGTGCATCATGTTTCGTGCCGCCTTGGGCGCCATGGCCGAGTATGTAGACATGATCAATGGCATGATGATCCACTTGAGGCGAATGAGGCTGTGCTGAATCGATGGTGCCCATTTGAACCATTTCCGTAGCCACTTCTCGGTACGGTCTTCCGAGGGTACGGCCAGGACATAGGTCGGGGAGCGCTGAAGCATCGTGACGTGCTTGGCAGTCTTGGCCATGACGGGCAGGACGGTGATGGCTGTCGCCCCGGAGCCGACGACAACGACTTCTTTATTGGTGTAATCCAGGTCCTTGGGCCAGAATTGAGGGTGAATGACTTGGCCTTTGAAATTGTCGATACCGGGGATCTCGGCCTTGAGAGGCGCGTGATAGTCATAGTAGCCCGTGCAAAGCAACATGAAGCGGCCCTTGAAGGTCTTCTTCTCCGAACCATTTGCTGTGACATCCAATTCCCACGTCTTTGTACGAGACGAGTACTTTGCAGCATCCACGGAGTGATTGAATTTGATCTTCTTGTCAATATCGTACATTGCTGCCGACTCTTTCAGATAATCCTTGATCAGAGCACCCTGTGCAATGGCCTGGGAAGCCTCCCATGGTCGCCACGGGAAGCCGAAAGTGTAGAGATCAGAGTCGGATCGAATGCCTAGGACTCGGATCAGTACATGCACCGCGCGCACAGAGAAAGAGAGAGAAAAAGAGAGAGAGAGAGGATCAGAGTATAGGCATACCAGGGTAGTTGAACAGACTCCACGTGCCACCCAGTTCATGCCGAGCCTCGAGAATGCAATAACTGAGATGGGGATTGCGTTCTTGCAAGCGATAACCAAAATTGATGCCAGAGATACCCGCTCCCACGACAATCACGTCGTAGTTGTTCTCGCCCTTTTCCAGCGGTTGCCACGCCATGATGATGGGAAAGGTCCCTCGCAGTGAGTGGCAGCGTATACGGCGATGAAGGACGGATGGTGCGTCGCGTGTGCGTGAGGAAGAAAGAAAATTAGCAGCAAGTGATGTGCGGTGTAGGAAGTTCGACGATATATGTAAACGGCGATGATGATCCCACGCGCCACCTAGAAATGGATGTCATCTATGCATCCCCAGGAGTCGAGGTAGCGTGTGCGACAAGAAAGTCTATTTCCCTCTTTGGAATGCCTCGGTCCATCCAGGGTGTCACGCTCGTCGCGTCCGAGCCAATCAGAAACGCGCATCTCATGGCAGAATGCGGGACCTCCCCACAACCGGGTTTCTTATTCGACCGCCACATCCTTGAGCCACTGCCTAGATACCGAGGCCATCTGGCACCTCCGTCGCTTATCTTGTTCTCCAGACCCGCCCTCCTAGCGCTATACAATTCTGCCTTGTCGTTGTTGTTGTTGTATTTCTCTCTGGAGGATATGCTCGGGCATAAACAGAGTCGCGAGGGCTGCAATTATAAGTATTGCCGAGGCTTGCATACAGTACTGGTATACCTGACCTACCTGACCATCCATCTCATGACGAGGACAACGAGATCGACGGCCACACCATCCATTAGTCATGTGGTTCAACACTGGTACCAGAGTCGCTGTGCGCTCGTGAAAAGAAAGGAGCTTCTATTCAAAGAGACTGCATACGAGTCATCATCATCATCTCTCTCTTTTTCCTTCTGTATGCCACCAGGCTCATGCAGCCGGCTCTTCTTATATTCCTGTACGCCTCAAACTCCACCTTTATCGTTATCGTTCATACCGGGGCAGCTCTGAATGTGCAGACGTATCGACGTGATCATCGCTACCATACAAGTCTTCGTTCGTCAATGTGGGAGCTGTTGCTGCCTGATTGTTGCTCGAACAGCCCACCTCCGGATCGCTCGCATGCTCACTGGGCGGTTCCGAAGCCTCCAGCTGGAGACGCCTTCGTTGTAATTCGTGCTTGTCATCGGTCGCAGCATCAGGAGGATGCGGCATTCCTCGAGGCGTCGCCGGAGACGCCACCTGCACTTCTGCCTCTCGAGCTTCGTATACCGGTGTTCTTGGAAGTGGTATTGTTCGCGCGTAGTCGCTCGCTATCATGCCGTTGGCATATGCTGCTCCATGTCCATATGCTGGTGGTGTCAGCAGGGCAGGAGGTGGAGCCGATGCAACAGGGACGTCGAGCTGCTCGTCTGGCAGGTGTGGTGCCGTTGCTACATATGAGCTGGGTCCCGTCCCATTTTCCGATGTGGGAGGTTGGCTCGGCAATAAGCGTTGCTCTGCCCTATGCACGCGTTCCTTTTCCGACAATTGTGATTCGTCTTCGATATGAGGCATGGGTATTAGCGACGCCTGTACACTACGTCCATCCGGAGGCGGGTATTCGTAATTGCCATAGTCCGCCTGGTAGCCATTGTATCCGTAGTAGCCATTGTAATGATTGTAAGTGCCATTCATTTCCGGATCCGGGTGTTGGCTCGGATGTTGCGTATGGTGGCCATAGTCATAGCCATGAAACTGGTAATGATCGCCATACTCCCCATAGTCATAGGCCCAGCTGCCATCAACTTCCGACGCAGCCCCAGGTTGGGCATCGGCTGGGCAATCACGCTGCCGAGAGGCATTATTCGCATCTTCTTCGGGCACTTCTGGGATCGACACTTTCCGCTTCTCTTTTTTCCGAGTGTTGTCCCTCGTTCCGATAACAATCTCGAAAGTGCATGCCACCACTCCCTTGTCTCGCCGAATGTCCGTCGTATCAATGATGGGTGAGCTGAAAGGATGCAGACCCGAGTTGATTAATCCCAGGTTCTCCGAGCCTTGACCCTGCAACATTGTACTGGCTAAACCACCAAGATTCCCCAGGTTGCGGTCCTGTGTTGATAGCTTGCCTTGGATATCCAGCACACACTCTACGTAGTACTTGAAGCTGATCATCGCTCCAGGCACAGAGGAAATGGTCGGAAATGCCTCCTCGGGAACGTGCACTTTCCCGGTCACCTCTGCTGTCAACGATTCGGGGTTGACAATTAGAGGCACAATCCGCTGTGACAGATCCTTTCGAAACATATGACTAGACCCAGCTCCAGATAGCGATAAGCCGCCAAGTCCGGTCACCGACTTAGGATAGTAGTCCTCGTACTTCGCTTCCTTGCCCTTCTCGGTAGGGCCCAGTGGTATGGCCGGGTGGATATCGACTCGTGCTTGGCGATAGAGCGTCATGATCACTCCATGCAAGCTTTTGACATGCTTGGTATGGGTCACATGCACCTTGATCGGTATGCTATCGCCGCGCAGAACGCCACCTTTCAGCGCCTCTACAGTAGCCGTAATGGTTCGACTGCCATTGTCGCCTTCACTGTAGCGAGAAGAGGTCATTTGGGAGTCCTGTTGAGATGGTCGTCCTGCACTGCTACTGAACATGCTTTCACAGCTTCCCTCCGTCGGAGCAGGGCTCTGCGGTCCCGTTTCAGCAGCATCGGCATGTGAGCTCATCGCCGAGGACGACTGACTGGCCCGTGGTTCGAGCTCACCAGAGGTAGTGCCGGATCCATCTTTGCGACCTTTGCGCTCCACATTCTCGGCTAGCTTGCGAGCTTGCGATTTCGCCCTGGATCGACGGGAGATGGGTTCTAGCGTGATCGTCCGCGGTTTCGGAGGCAGCAGCTGCGACACGTCAATCCGCTCCACCATGTACACTTTGTGATCGCATTGTATCGTCGGGGATATCGTCGTTGGTCTCGTCAGCGTCGCCGTAATCATGTAGGAAATCGTCCCGCGCTCAAACTACACCATCATCAGCACGTGGAACTTGCGCCCTCCTCATGCTAGGTAGACCACATACAGATATACTGCTGGGCAAGTCCCGCTCAGGGAACAAGAGATCGAAGCGAAATTGGTATACACCCTCGCCCAGCTTGCCGTCCCCACAGAGCACCACCTCATCCTCAAATAGCGATGCGAAGCCGTTCCCATAGTACTCTCCGCTCCTGCTGCCCCTGCCCGTTCCAATGTGCGCGCTGGTTGCGCGATAGCCATCTGCCGGCGGGGAGCCGGGATTCTTGTATACCTGCACGAAGCCGTGCAAACAGACTACCACGTGCGTAATCCGAATGGGTTGCACAACTTTCAGGTTGACGCAACCTGTCACCGAGTCGCCCTGCGTATATGATCGGTGTGGGTCGTCCACTTGAATGTAGAAGTCGGTGAGCTTACGCGACTTGGCGGCGAAAGGAGACGCAAGTCGTGAGATGAATCGTCGTCCGCTGGTGGGGTTGTGGTTGTTGCTGCTGTTGCTGCTGTTGTTCGTCGTGCTCGGGGCGTTCGAGGCAGAGCGGGACGGAGTGACTGGCATTCTGCACCTTGGGGTGGCCGCAGAAGCACCCAGCCTGGCCTAAGAGGCGCCCAGTAAGGGTCGAAAGGACAATGCGCGCGCATGCGAATTGATATGCGGCAGCGCACGGGAGTCGTCGTGGGTGCGCGTCGTGACGGCGCGATCTCGTTGTCGCGCCGAAAATGGGATCGAGGCCAAGACGTTCTCGGGCCTGTAGAGCATCGTTAGACTACTAGGAAGGCAGCCGTGACGCCAGAGGGGAAGGTTTGCTGGTTGGTCTCAACGCGCCGAGGAAGGTCAGACCCGATGAGGACCAGAGATGCGTGATGTAGAGAGAGCACAGCACGACCACAGAGAGCAGCTGTGCGTGGCTAGCGAGCGCTAGGAGGCTGCAGACAGACAGCATAGCCACAATCGGGCAGACGCAGTCTGTGTGGAAGCGTCCCACCGGACAGCGCTGTCGCTTGTCGCTGTCGCATCACTCCACTGCCTGCGACTGTAGCTGGCCGCCGCGCTCGTCTTCCATCACCATCCCACTGGCCGCTATCACAGCCATTCCGCCGCTGGCACTGGATCTTCTGCTGATCTCTCACGTACCTTGAGGGTATCGAGGTCGTTTTGGTGCTGGAAAAAACGCCCTGTGCCAAGTATAGTCAAGCTTTCTGTGCAGTGCGCGGCGCGCAGGTATTTCGAGGCGCGAACGGGGCACCCGAATGTTCCTGGTATGGAATACTGCTTCTTCGTGCTGGCGACGGAACAAGCCTGCTCTTTCTCTCTCCCATCACCTCAATTCGGACAGTCCTTGAAATGCGCGGCCAATGGCCTCCACAGTGGATGAAGCGGTCGGTATGTTTGTCCCGCTCCCCTCATCAGAGCTTAATCTGGACTTTCATACTTTTTTGATCCATAGTTCAGACGAGGCGAGGTCCGCTGAAGGAAGATCCCTACAGCCGTCCGTCCCACGGAGGACGCATGGACTTTCCCGTTGCTTCAGTGGCGGAGGTACCTCTAGTATAGTACAATAGAACGCTCATCATTGATCCATAGGAGTCCCTGACGCCTGCGGACTGCGCGGTATGGTACATAGTAACAGTATTTTTTGAGCCGAGGAAATGGCAGCGATGAAGTTCTGGACTGGGAAGATGCGCCGCTCTCTCCAGTGGCAGACTACGCCCTTCTATGTGTCTTCCCAGTCGGTCGGCCCACACGCACCGGGAAATAGCCTGGACGAGCCCACGCTGTTGGTTCGCCATTCGCAGTGCGATACAGTAGCCTCTGCATCCGTCGGTATGGCACCGGCTCTCTATACCATTCTCGTGCTACCTCCTGATACTACCGCCACGACTACTGTACGCGAGCGATACCACTAGGAGCTCTCCGCAACCAGAGTCTCAGGTGCCGACCGCGGTAGTTTTCGGACTATCTGTACGACTGTACTGTAGGGCGCGCGTACAGTACCTAACTACCTATAACTGTCCCGTCGGGTATCATGTTCGTTCAGCGACGACAGGCACGGAGGCATCCGCCCGGTCCGCTGAGCACCATCAGGTCATCAGCCCATACGTAGTTCTCAGGTCACATCACATGATAGTATGCCTAATGTACATGTACATGTATGTATACCTCCTGGTATGAGAAAACTGAGCCTCACCTCCTGTGGTATGTGGCAGGCAGCATACCTACATGTACCTGAGGCATTGAGAAGGCTTGGGACATGTTGGTCATCACTGTCCTCTTTGGAGCTCACCTGCAGAATACAATAGCGGAAAGTAGGGTCCTAGTCTACTGTCAATTTACGGTTATATAATTAGACGTATGTAAACTCGATTCGTAAAATTAAGCGTATCGAAATCTAAATGTGTTTTTACTAAACCCGTATCTACTATAATCTGGTAATTGTACAGTTCTCTTGCTTATCGTATTAACTAATAGTATACATACTTTGATCTCCTAATTCATTAAGTAAAATCGCTATTTCGTAGCTTATATATTATAAAAGAAAGCGACAGCTAAAGAGAATAGTAGCTCTCTAGTTTATATATAATAGCGCTTGATTGCAATAAGTATAAAACAGTATATTATAGACTTTTATTTTATCTATAGTAGTACCGCTTATAAGAAATGTATTGCGAAAATACGGTACGTTCTAGTTTACTACGTATACAAACAACATACTATTAAATTTAAAAGCGTTAGTATCTATAGACTAGATATATACGCAAAACGTAATAAAACAACGTTACCTATCGATAATTAAAGCGAAATATAATTTTGAATTATAAAGCTACGGTACGTAAGACACCGACCGTAGTTTAACTATATAGAATATAATAAGTTGTAATTTAATAGTATAAAACTAACGAAGCAGGCGGGGTTCTCCTCCCCGCTAGTATCTAGGAAAGCACTTATAGACTATACGTATATATATAGTATTAAGCGGCTAGGCGTGTTTCTTTTACGTAGGGCGTTAGGGTAGAGCCGAGAGCCGGACGGCCCGGGAGGGCCGTACTACTCCTAGCGGGTAGCTATATAGAGTAGTTTTCTTCTTTTTAGGACGAAGGGGAGGAGGGACATAATCAGGACGTAGACGTACGGATACCTACTCTACTATAATTGATGTTGTTACCCTACGGTGCGCTTTGTCTTCTAATATTACCTTTCTTGCTACCTACGGGCATTTACGCGTCCTTCCGGACCTCTACCTATCCTACCCCTTTTACCGCGGAGCTACGCCGCGACCTACTATAAGCCGAGCCTATCCGATCGTCTACTCGAGGACGGTAGTAGGAGAGAGGGCTTTACGGTAATAAATAGAGCCGAAGGTAGGGCTATTATATACAAAATACAAGAGTAGGAATAGTTGTAGGTTAGAAGAGGAGGGCAAAAAGGGATAGGTATAGAGGATAGGATAGGAGATAGGGATAGTGTTTGACCCTAAAAAAGAGACTATTATAACGCGGTGCGAGAAGGTATAGTATTAAACGACAGAGTTCGAGATTAATTAGGCACAGTTCCTAGGGCGTAGTTCCTATACTAGGTAATATAGTATAAGGTTAAGGTACGATACGATATAGTAGGGCGTAGTTCCTAATTCGGTATAAGGAAGGGCATAGTTCCTAATCAGGTATAGGGCAAGCTACGATATAATACGGTTACGAACATAAGGCAGGGAAAGTAATTAACGCGACGTTAGAGAAAGGGGTCTTCGGCCTTAGAGATAATAGACGTTATAGAAAGGCCGATAGCGAGATATAGGCCGTAAGAGCGAGCGGCCGACTAATATCGTAGAACGGAAGAGGGGACTCGGGATTTAAGTTATACTAACTGTAATATAGGTACCGAAAGAGGTTAGGATTTAGTTAGGCCCCCGGAGCCTAACCGAAAAGGGTAGAATTAAAGTATTACTACCCGTAGCCGAGGGGATTAAGACAGAAAATAAGACTAAAGACGAATACATATATATATATACTAAAGAACGAGAACGTACCGAACCCGTATACGTACGTACTAACGAACGAGAACGATATTAGCTACCGAATACTCCGACCCCGTTGCTAATAGCCCCTACCGCGCCGACTCGATCGAGAACGCCTCTATAGACTCGGACGAGTACGATCGACAGCTTAATATCTCGATCCGAAACCGCCCTATTAATATAGTATCTAGATCCGGACTAGCCGCAGCTAGACCTTTAGTGTCTATACCGACGTTAACTCCGTCGAGCAGCTCTACTTATCCTACTACGCCGAAACCGATAAGTACGGAAGAATAGCACCGGGCTATAGAGCTCCTCGTAATAAACCAAAACGTTATATCCTCGATAACCTCCGGCGTCGCTAGTATAATAGAGAAAATTACCGAAAGGAGCGAGAGGTCTACGAAGGAGCCGCCTATACCTAGTACCGACGGCAACCCTACGTTTAACGGAAACAACATTACAGACGCTCTCCGTCGTTACGAGATAATAAGGGACAAGTACTATATAAGCAAGGACGAAAAAGAGGTTATTAACGATTTTCTTCTTAAATACGATATAGTTACCCGCTCTAAGATCGAAGGCCTCGACCTACCTAGTAACAACTAGGCAGAATTCAAGGAGAAGGTAACTATTAATTATATCGAGAAGGACTACTATAGCAACGTTACCTCCCGGGAGTACCTTAACCAACTATGTAATACCCCGCGCAATAAGACTAGTAACAACCTGCATTTCCTAAAGCAATTTACCGCCGCTATTAGACGCTACTCTACGGCGGAGCTCTCTAACTTTAACTGTACTAAGCTCTTTCTAAAGGGCCTGCCTAATAAAGTAGAGATAGTCCTTCGGGGAGAGTTCGGTCTATACCCTAAGTTACTAAAGACGTATAACAACTTTAAGAAGGTTTTCGCTACTAGGAAGAGGCTTCTTAAAGGGATAGACGGTTAGCGGTATACGAAGGATCTAACTACCGTAGCTAGACTCGGCAAGTTGTAGGAGAACTTGGCCGGCGCTAGTTCGACTTCCTTTAAGGGTATACCGTCGATTACGGCTCCGGCCTCGAAGAACGACAAGTTTAACTCTAAAGTTAACGCCCTTACCGAGCAGTTTGATACCCTCCGACTTAACCTCTACTAAGCCTTCTAAGGGAGAGGAAGCAGTAACGCGCGCCTAGTAAACCCGCCTAGCATAGTTTAGGCTTATTATAGTACAGTTGCCTTAGGCTCCGATTTAGTCGGGCCCTTAGGGCCTAACCAAAATCTCGGGTATAGATCTGCTGCCTACTACTCTACGACGTCCGTACCTACTAACTCGGCTAGAGCCCTAACCGGTACCTATAGTACGTAGTATCCGCCTATACCCGGGCCTTCGAATCCTAATAGCCTATATTTATCCGTAGAACCGGCGAGTATCTATATCGATATAATGTAGGTTACTAGTCTACTAAAGGATTGTTGTTTCTAATATAGTAACGTCTCTTACTTCGCCTATAAATGCCCGATTGTAAGTAATCTTACCTAGCGGGGGTTTATATACCGGAATAAGAGGAATTACTACTTCTTTAGCCGAGCCGGTTAATCTCTATCCCCGCGAGGGATTAAGTATAGATAGGACTCGTAGTACCTATACCTGTCCTAGATCCTGCCTTAGTTAGAATAGGAGATGAACTATAGTAACCCGATTAAGTTCCCGGCCTATCTTCGTATAGCTGTTAATACCGCCAAAAAGAGATTCTGTCCTCGGGATTAACTTAGCGTTCCTCCGGTAGTTGCCCCGCCTGCCGTCGCTACGTAGGCGCTCCTTGCTCCGTAGGCTGTCTAGGCCTATACCTTCTTAGGTTATACTACGTAGGACCGGTACGCTACCGAGTATAAGGATAAACGAGCGTAGGTAGAAGAGATTGTAGATAAAGAGGACAAGACTATCCTCGTTTAGGCTATAACGCGACCGGCTAAGGAGCTATTGCAAGAGGACTCTTAGTAGAAGGAGGCAAGGAGGCTTATACCTACTATCCTAGGGAAGAGCTACTTAGCAAAGGTAGTTAAGGCTAAGGCTAAGGGGCAATAGGGTACCGCTACGACGAAACAGTTAGAGAGGGCGATATAGAGGTCGATTCTTCCTACGGTTAGTAGTAGGTCTCGGGATCTGGATACGGATAACGACTACGATAGTAGGTATAAGGTAGAAATAGTCGACCGGGAGGATAAGGAAGCTACACTTAGATAGAGCTAGGATTACGCTACCGAGCTAGCCCTAGTAAACCCGCCGACGAAGACGAAGAAAAAGCCCGCAATACGTCGCCTAGATAAGCTAATTTAGGACAACGAGCCCG